CAAAACGGAATACAGAAACAATATTAACATTTATTGACTAGTTTCTAATCACCTCGTCATTGAACCACATTAAATAAAGGTAAGGGAGATACAAAACAGTTCAATTTGCAGAAACGAGCAGATTAGGATGAAATTGCACAAGAGGAGCAGTTGTTAACCATGCCCAGGATGATGTAGGGAAAGGTGCTCCACGTGACCACCCACATTCACCTGCAAAATTTCAAGACGTTGGACAGTGTATTCAATAGCAGATTGTAACTGATCAGTTGCAGGGCTTCGCACATGAAGCGTTGTGGAGTTCTTCAAGTCATTCAACGTCTCGCATGGAGTTAGATCCAACAAACGTGGTGGCCAGGGATTAGGAAAGGAGTGACTAATAACACATTCCTCTATGAAGTGTTGGAGCAATAGCAGCTTCATGGACATATGGATATGTGGGGTGACCATGCACCATCTTGCATGACCATCGACCATTTTCATGCACCATCCTACATGAAAATTGTCAATGTAAGGACCCGGCTTTACTGTAGTTGCGGCACAGCAATCATCTGCAGCATGTCATTGTACCAATATCCCATAATGGAACATGTTACATATTCACCGATTTCCTCAAAGAATGGCCCTTTGGAGGCTGTAGGAGAATTTCAGTGTGGATCTGTGGATGGTCCATAGCCTACATGTGGTAATTCTTTGTGTTGACTGTCACATTGAGGTAGAAATGAGCCTCGTTGCTCCACAGATTATTCCAAGGCCATGACAGATCAACAGTCATTCTGCTGATAAAACTGAAGGCCCGTTTCCACTGCTGCGTATGCGTTTCTCCAATCAGCAAGCGAATTCACTTTGACATCTGCAATCCGGTTGATGTGCGGTGACGGATGACGTATGGATGGAGTTCAACAATGTTCAACTTCTATCCGTATGTCTGCGGATGCGTTGGGATCACGTGGTAAAAAAGGAGCAATCGGGTGTCGTCACCAAAAATTAATGGTGGCAGAAGTAGGGATGAACGCTTGCTTAGGGAAGAATGTTTTGCTAAAAAATATTTATTTCTGAATTAACATTATAGCGAGAAATCTGCGTCCTGAAAAAGTCAGCAATCAGCTGAATTTAGTTAAAAAAATATAAGAAAAATAAGATAACTGCAACTACAGTACTTCTTCGCAGATAAAATCAGGCGTTCAAGAAAATCAGTGGCAAAAATTATAATTCAAAGTCCATGAAATAGCAAAATTTGTCCTGACAGTTATTTCCTAGTTCTACATACTCATTTACCTTGTACTCATTACCATATAGTCAGACATTCATTACCTTGAAAATGAATGTCTGACTATATCAAACTGCTATAGCAAATTAGATATGATTAAAAGATTTGCTATTTTCTTTTGAAACAGGTAAAAACTAAAAACGTTAATTATAAATTAAATTTGATAGCCTTTTAAATATTCCACTGCATTAAAGAGTATGTTAAATTTGTATTTCTTTATTTATATATATATCTTTTTGGCTAACATATATTTGTAAGCACATGAAATATATTTTTAGCAGCCCGTTTGAATTCAATCGGAACGCCACTTTAAAAGATAATGTTTTTTTTGTAAAAAATGTACTAGAAGCTGAAGAACAAACTCTGGTGAATTTTTTAGATGATAGAACACTGAAATAGGACCCAAAAATTTTAGTTTTAAGAATGGATTTACTTGATGATGTATATAAGCCCAAATATGTATACGACTCCCGTGTGATGCAAGCTTAGTGGTAAAGCTGACGGTAACAATATTTGACTTTTGTTGTCAGTTCGAATCCCATACGTTTTTGCACCCTTGTCTGCAACTTTCTTAGCTTTTTGTTCCAATTTAATCTATATTTGTGTTTTATAATTTATTTCTATTATTATATGCAGTAAATATATTGTTTTATTTATGCTTTTATTTATTTAAATTTTCCCCGTAAAAAAATTAAAAAAAATTATATAATACGAATTTAAAGCATACCCTGTACATTATTATTGAATTTAATAAACATTCTCTATTTGTAAAAAGCAAATTTAAATTTAGTTAAATTTAAATGAAATTTAATGCAAACAAATAAATGATTAATTATTGCGGCGAACTAATCTACAATATCATTTAAATTCTGAGAGCATATGTAAATGAAGTGAAAGTATCAAAATCCTATTATTCGCTTCTGCATGTTTATAAATTTTTTAGGATAAATAAATTTTTGGAATTATATGTTTATTCATAGATTTTGATACTTGCACTTGATTTACATATGCTCTCAGAATTTAAATGATATTGTAGATTAGTTCGCAGCAATAATTAATCATTTATTTCTTTGTATTAAGTTTCATTTAAATTTAATTAACTTTAAATTTGCTTTTTACGAATAGAGAATGTTTGTTAAATTCAAATTTCATTCCTTGCAGCAATGGTGCAAGAGAATTATTTAAATTTAAATTAACTTTATTAAGTATTTTTCTTTGAAACCCTATACATATATAATATATATATTTTTCGTTTCTTTTTTATGTGAATGTACATACATGTGCTCAGACTTTAAGATGTTTACGGCTCTAAACTTTCATTACCAATTAACATGAGACAGTATTAATGCCCTAAACATTTTTTAAGAAAAAATTGCTATAATAATTGCTTTAAATTCAGCCCTCTCCAGCAGCGCAGGAATTAATTAATTAAATATTTCCATTTCTTTACCTAATGTATGTATATATAAAGAGAAAAAGCTTTATTTTGTAACTGCTTCTGTAAAAAGAGATATAAATTAAAAATTTTTAAATTAAAAAAATAATTTTATGGATTATGCATAAAAATATAACTGCCCATAGTGCATTTTAAAACAAACGAGATTTCTAATAAAATTATCCAGCTATGACCCTGAAGTCAGCGGTATACAAGCATAGCAAATTTTGTGTAAGTAAATATTGTGAACCTTTCTTTACAGTTGCTCTGTAAAGTATCAATTATTTTTAATTCATTTAACTTTTTTATTTTATTTATTTATTTGTTTATTTCTTCAGTAACAGTACAGTTTAGTTTTAATAATATATATATTATTTCATTTATATTTAAGGCTTCTAGAAACACAAAGAAAATTTTTAAAATTTACTTGAGCTTCTTCTGCAATTAGTGACGTTCATAATATGCTTTATAACCTTCTTATCTAAAAATTGCTAGCGTACTTTACTTTCGCAGTTCATAAGCAGAAATAAAAATTTCCAATAACATGGAATTTAGTAAAAAAAACTTTTCTGCATTCTACGTCAGGATTCATATCAAATCCAAAACAAACAATACTCGATTAAGCTGGAAAAATTCAGATGCTCAGCGTAGTAACTCGCAAACTGGTTGTTTGCCGCCAAAATATTATGGTGACACCTAGGGGCGGAAAATGAAAATAATCTACGGATACACGACAGTGGAAATGTTTGTACAGATGCTGTAGGCGTGTCTTCAGTTGATGCAACGAGTTTGTACGCAGTAGTGTAAACAGGCCTTGACTGCGAATGAGAGACGTTGTGGCTTGTCCCTATCAAGCAGCTCCTGAGTATGGCGGGTCTTGTATGGGAAGTAGTGCATTATGTTTCTGAATACTTTTCGGATGGTGCTGTAAGAATAGCCTGTCGAGACCACACACGCGCTACTGCCCCCAAACTCTGTCTGTGACTGCATCAACAGCTGTCTTGACAGCATCAACAAGTACTGGTGTGACACGTTTACACGTCCTCTTCCAGGTTGAACTCCTAATTTCCCTGTCTCTTCAAATCTCTTAATCATGGCCCGGATACCTTTAGTAGACATTGGTCCATGCCGTAGGTTCTTTCTACGACGAAAATTGGGAACTGCAGTAAAAGCATTCCCCTTGTTTTCATAAAATTAGCCTCACCAATAATGCATGTTCAACTAAAGAGACTGTCATTAATTAGTACAGCCGGAAACATCGGCTTCCTGTTTTTCCCAAGCATGCAGATCTCAACATTTTTCTCCTGCAACTGACAGATTTTCTCGGGTTTGCATTTTATTACTTGTAACTCTTGTTCTGGATTGTTAATATTGTTTCTGTATTCCGTTTTGCTCATTTATTGTGTTAAATTTTGTGTTTTTCCCGAAAAGACGCCCTCTGGTGGACATTTTGGAACTAAAATTTATTTTTCAAAATTCTGTGAGAACCAATATACAAACTTTTGTTGCATTTCATTCAGTCATTTGCTCTGTAGGATGTCGTTTATAGGGGAAGTTTAATTATAATCACCTGGTATAACTAAAGTCTGTGAACAGGAATAGTAAACAAATATAGATGCATTACATAAGAGTAGCTCTGTCCCCCCTCTTTATGTTTGCAAAAGGCATTATAAATACTTGATTTGCTTGTGTACTATGTTGCTAGTCATTTACAAGCCACTAAATTGTGAAATCAACAGACGGAAATATGTAAATTGTGAATTTACAGATTTTTGTCTGTTTATTGAAATTTTTATAATGCATAATTTTAAATGTGTCTTTCCCATAATACATTTTAGATTTGTGCTTCCTAGACCTACAAAGTAGTGTGCAGTTCGTTAACAGTGTATGATTTTTAGTGGATAGTAGAATATTTTTTTTTATTTGTGTTGCTTGTTTTGTAGTTTTTTATAATATGTGTTTTGATTAATGCTTTCAGATGAAAGGTTGTATATGAAATATAAATATGTTCATTTTGCAGATATTGATAAATATTAGATGTGTAGCTCACATTTTCAGTTAAAAATTATCCACAATTTCAAAAGATCAGTGTTGTTGCTATTGAATATATCATTGTCATAACTACTAATTTGTTATATTAACATATTAAATGCCACACCTATTTTGTTTGCTCTAAGGTCAGCCCCTAAGAACTGATATAGCGCTTATCTTATTAAAATAGTGTAATGTATATTCCTTTTTCAGTTCATATATAATAATATATGTGCATTTAAGTGTACTAGTTAATCTTTACATTAGGTTAAAGTTGTTATTTTGGGACAAGACCCTTACCATGGACCAGGACAAGCTCATGGTAAATTTCTTTTATTATTATTATTATTGAATATATTCCTAAATCTTGCTGTAAAAGAATTTGTTTTTTTGTTTTGAAGTAACAGTGTTATTTCAAGATAAATTAAGATTGTTGGTTATACAAACTCCGTGCTGTCAGGTACTAAAATTATGAAATCAGGCGATCTAAAATATATCTTTCAAGCTTTGTGAAACTTAGATGTAGTGATTTAAGTAACACTTATTTAAGTGGATTTAAAAATCCATTAGAGATTTTTAGTAGTAAGATTAAGAGTAAATTTTGAGAAATACGAATGCAGTCATTTGGCAATGGATGGCGCTGGCTGTTGCACTCAATGTCTGATGTCAGAATTACGGGGCGCTAATTTTGGCAGGATTCTCGAACAGATGAAAATGGATTTTTTTGCCAGAGTTGAAGCTAATGACCCTGGTAACCATAGCAAAACTGGATTAGGATTTAAATAACACAGCCCCTTAATCTATAAACACCATCTGGAATACTGGAGGAAAAAGTCTTCATAGGTGGTTTATAGGCTTCTTTCAAAGCAGAAAGGATATACATTCAGTGATCATCTTAGAAAATAGTACCATTCATTTGTACAGTGTTAAGCACTGTAATGAATTAACACTTTCTGTCCATTCATTGCCTTCTTCTCCATTTGAGTAATCCATTTAATGGCAAAATTCAAACACAAAAGTTCATCTATGGAAAATATGCATTTCTGTAGATTTAGTAAATTTCATTTGCAATATTTAAGAACGCTGATTCACTTTTCGATAAGATTATAAACTCTAGGATAACAATTATTAATAATCACAACATTTGTGTTGTCCCTGTGTTGCATTCGTAATATTTTTATTCTTGTCTTATTTAGGAATTTTGATTTGCCTATTCAGCATCAGACATTTAAAAATTTTTACCATATTAAAAGTAGGATCAGTAAAGTAAAATGTAGTTCAATCGTTTTATAGTCAAATTTTTTGTGTGATAACTTAAGACGACCACCTCTTAAAATGATCAGTCTTTCTGAAAACATACATAAAACATTGCTTTAAATATCATTGATTTTAAGCAATCGTCTTCATAGAAATCCAAATCTTTTGGAATGGTTGATGATTGTCTTAGAAATGCTATATTTTATTCTGTAAATTTCTTCAATTTAAATGATAAATCAGAGATTGAAGGTGTGAGATATATATATATAGCTAGGACTGCATAGCTATATATATAGCTAGGATACATACAGGGTTCCCACGCTACCTGGAAAACCGGAAAAAGTCAGGGAATTCGGAAATTGACCAAAAAATTCAGTGAAAAGTCAGGGAGATTAAGTGTTTTAGTCAAAATCTGGAAAAGTCAGGGAATTTCATACAACGACCCCGCCAAAAAAGGCGAGTTTTGCGCCGACGTCGGAAGAGATCACTTTCTTGGCGAATTGTGTATCACTGTGAGTGTCATTCGGGCAGTTGGCATAGAGCTAATTTTCACAGCTCTAATTAGATTGTATCTTTTAGAAAGGCAAAGCAGAGTTTCTCAGCAACTTTTGGTTTCCAGTAACCTCGAGAATCGTATGTGCAGTGCATGTTCAACTAAAGAAAATACCTTATCTTTGGTATAAAACAAAATATGGATTTAATCCTAGTATAACGGTACCATGGAAGGTTAGAATTAAAAAGATATGTATTGTAAAGAAGGAAAACCTCTCTGCAACAGACGCTTGACTCGGTTCCATCAATAGCGGGAGGGAAACAGCTGTGCATGCGCGATAATATCTGTCACCAAAGTGCGAAGCCGGGTGTCGAATTTCAAAGGTCACTTTAACAAGAGTTCATAAAATGAATATCGTTTAAAATGTCTCTTTAAAAGAAAAGAAAATATTTTTTGGCTGCAAGTAAATTAATTCATTGGATTAGTTATTTTGAGGGGGGGGGGGGGAAACATCTACGAAAATCCGTTTTTAAAATTATTGCGAAAAATCCAAGAAAAAACGTTCTTTGATAAAACGTTTCTTCTTGGACTTTTCGCAATAATTTAAAAACTGATTTTCGTAGTTTTCTTTTTTGTCAAAGAACGTTTCTTCTTAACACGTGTTTCTCAATTTCCTGTACACATTGCGGAGAGGGAAATTCTGGCTGTTCCGTCGTCAAATCCCTTGGCAAATTTTCCCTCCGCTTTTTACATAGATGTTCTTTGGTCAGAATAATCTCCATGTATGGTACAGCGGGATTTGGCGACATGATGATGAGCAGTAAACAGGTCATTTTGTTCTTGGCGACAATTTTCAAAATCATGCGAAGGCCGTATCGTATACTAGGATTTTACCGCAAAATCTTTTTTTTTTCTTTTCTTTTCTTTTTAATAAATACCTTAATGCAGTAAAATAAAAAAATAGTAATCAATCATCTAGGATATCTTTATTTTTATGTTATTCATATCATTTAATGTTGCTTCTTCCCTCTAAATTTATTTATCATTAGTAAATAATATTTCCAAATTTCAGGAAATTTTCTCTGGCATAATCTTGAAATTAATTTGAGCAGTATGATGACATCACGAAATTTAATGCACATATTTTTTCCTTATGTATGCTGCGAGATAAATATAAAATACCTTAATGTAGTAAAAAAATATCATTAAATAGAATTTTTTTTTCTTTCGTTTAGTTGTAGAAATGTCTGCAAAAAAAAAAGCCTTTATTTTCATTCCAGATTGGGCAGATTCTAATCTCCAATCTTCAGTGGAGAAAACAACTTCCTATTATAGTTAAAATAGTAATGCTTTGGGAATTATATATATATATATAAGTCATATGTAATTGACAAATTTTTGTGTTTTCAAGTGTTAAGGTGCCTTTTAAGAATACACCTCACACAAATTAAATTTACCTAAAAATCTAACCTAACTTTTAGCATTGCGTTGTGATTTATAAGAACCGGATTAGCCTCGTGTTGAACTGGGGATGATCATGAGTAATAATTAAATAAAACGTACAGTTTGTTATCCAATGTATATATCTTAAATTTTATTAGTATTTTTAAGCGGAAAAGTAAACAAAATTATCAAACAAAGTGTACCAAGAATAATTAAGAATAAATGTCCTCTGGGATTTATTGAATAATTAAGTGAATTTGCTACACAATACAAGTCATACCATAATTAATTTACCTCTTAGCACAGCAAACGTACATTACACGGATAGACTGGAATTTTCTCGAAACATACCTGGAAAACCTGGAAAAGTAAGGGAATTTCATTCTCCTGTTTGAGTGGCAACCCTGTACATAGCTAAAACATTTGCTGCTCGGGGCGAACCCTGTGTGTGTCTGCCTAGGCAGTCATTGAATTTGTCTTTCCTCTTTGTATAAGCAAATGACTGAATGTAAAAATGACATAAAGGAAAATAAATTAAAAATGTACCTTTGCTTCTGAAAAACATTTTAATTCCATCATTTTAAAACTGTGTTATTATATTTGTTTGCAAAGCCACCTATTACAGAGTACTATGCTGATAGTACAGAACTATTTCTTAAATGCAAATTAAACATTTGTAGTTCTAAAATGACTTTTATTTAAAAAAACTCCTATCACAACTAGAAACACAGCAATTTTGAAAAAAATTCTTAGCAATAATACATTATCTCAAGAACTGTATTTAGAACAAATAGCAAAACGTCAACAGGACCCACCTTCCACGTTCCTGTTTCGTTTCTTTAGCAATAATGATGGCAATAAAATTTTGAAACACTTCTCTCTAACTGAGGAATTCTTCCTTATTAACCTTTTGATGGCCCTCAACGAACTTAGCTCATATTCCAGTTATGCACCACAGTGGGCATAAACAAATGTCGCTCGTCTTACAAATTTGCGTCTGACAGATATCGCTTGCATTTGGAAAGAAAGAATTGCTTAATCTCGTTACTCCCCCTTCCCAGTAGGTTTAATGCACCAAGATCACAATTTAGTTGATACTCGCAATTTTCAAATTTTGAATGAATAAAGATGGTCCATCGAATATTATTTCACATGAAATTGGCACCTCCAAATTATGCATCCGTAGCAGACCAGCTCCCTCTACAGCTTACACTACTGTAAGGTAAGACTTTAGGCTTATAATCTAACAGCTGTAGAGAAAAGGGGGAAAAGTTATTGGGTTGCAAATATTCTTCATTTTTAATTTATGCAAATCTTGTTTTGTGTCATGACAGTACTTATGCCTGCCATTGTTTCTAAAATGTAAATTCTGTGAATAAGGTCTCCCTTTTGGAAAAATTTGCATCGATAACAATATTTCATAAAAGTCTGCAAAGTAGTGCTTGTCACTAGATCCATTCACATGAAAATTTTTTTTTTAAACTATGTTTCGTTTTCAAGCAGTTAAGCAGTCTTCAATTTGTGTTCAACCCCTAAACATGTTCTCAAAATTTGATTACCTCAGTCACTTTTGCATGTACAGAAGTCAAGCTTTTTTCTTTTTTTATTATTAAAAACACAATGAATTCCCCATGTACCACAAAGTATCACATGGGGCTTACAGAAGTAAGTATGAAACTGAATAAAAAAAAGTAAAGGAAAAATTTAAAACAAAATTATGAAGGGTTACAAAAATTTACAATGAATTGACAAAAATAGTCAAAGGTTGTTTCTCTCAAATAAACTGATGAAAATCCTGAAGCCAGTTAATATTTTTCAGCGGCAGTCTCAAGATCTTTCTTTCATTGTCATATTTTTAGCATAGAAAAAGGACATATTTAACATTTTCCTCACCACTGACACTGCAATCGCAAATTGTCTGCACTCAGCTTAAATTCGCTCAGATTCTTTTAAATTTTCTGTGGCCAGTAAGGGATTGGGACATTTTATAATTTGTAAAAAAAAATGATGACATGACAATCACATTTTGATGGAAGCAAAAAATGTATTAGTTAAGTTCCCTTTATTTGAAGTAATGTATTCTTGATTACGCAACTCCACAATACTATCACTCATGACCTTCTTATGAA